GGAGAGGATGAGGCAGCGGAAGAGGAGGACGGCGGGAAGCAGAAGCGGCAGCAGCAGCAGCAGCGGCAGCGGCGGCGACGCGAGGTCGGGCCCGTGTTGGCGGCGGCGGTCGGGGAAGGAGAGTCGTTCCACTTCTGCATGTGCAACCCGCCGTTCTTCTCGTCGCTGCGGGAGTCCAACCAGAACCCCAGGACAGCTTGCGGAGGTGAGTTGTTATTGTCATTGAGACCAAACTGAAAACCAAACAAGCGTTTTCCTTTTGGGTTTTGGTTTTCAATTTATTAGTTGCATGCTGCCGGCCGCATTTGTAGACCCAGTCAGCTTGAGCACCTCGGCAGCGGATTCAGCACCGGCGGTTTCATCAACCAACCAACCAACCAACCGGCCATCAAACAAACGAATCCAGGCACCCCCGAGGAGATGGTGTGCCCGGGGGGTGAGCTGGCCTTTGTGCGGCGGATGGCGGCCGAGAGCTCAGAGCTGCGAGGGCGGATCCACTGGTACACCTCAATGGTCGGGAAAAAGGTGTGCCCCGCCGCACCATCACCTCAATCCAGTGGGCGCAAACTCTCTGCTGATTGCTTGCAAGCCTGGCTGACTGACTGACTGACTGACTGACTGACTGACTGACTGACTGACTGACTTACTGCAAGCTGAACGGGCCTGTGTGTTTGTGAGCGACCGAACAAGTGTGGCGTCTTTGGTCATCTGTCAGAATGCGGTGCAGGGATGTTTTTGAACGTCCCCTGCGGCTCTGCGCCTGTGCCCAAACCTCACTTTCACTCACCGAGCTCAACATCCACCTGCCCTGGCAACCGTGCCAATCCTGACCCTGGCAATCGTGCCAATCCTGCAACCCCGAGGATTAAGCGATAGCTTCCATTCAACTCCCCAAAACACCCCCAGGCCAGCCTGAAGGAGCTTCGCAAGGAGCTTCACGCCCTGGGGGTCACCGCACTCAGGACGACTGAGCTGGCGCAGGCGAGAGGGGTCAGGGGAAGGGGCTGGGCTGGGCTCGGGTGTGTTAGGGGTTTGAGGGGCTTTGAACATGAGCTTGCAGGCCGGGGGACGAGGTGGATGGCTGTGCGAGTTGCGGGAGCAGCTGGCTTGGTGGTATACAGGTGCAGCGGGCTCGGGTGATGCTGTTGTGTGCCCAACCTCAATCCGCTCGCACCACATGCGCTTGCCACTTGCGCCTTGTGCTATGGTATGAGTAACTTATCTATCTATCTTGTGCAGGGCAAGACGCACCGCTGGGCCATAGCATGGTCTTTCGCAGCAGACCCCAACACAGCAAATATCCCACTC